AATTGGGTTTCAATTGATTTCATTTATTTGAAGACTAGAAAGAAGTTCCCATACTGATAATATACTAAGTAGTATGTTCATTATGCACTTAAAATGTTATCCTTTCTGGTCGGCCCCAGCCCATAGCATCCCTATGGACGAGAGAATGCAACACTGCCTCGTCCGTGCCATCCTCATAATTGTTATGTTTGAGCCCGTTGTTGTAGCCACTGTGTCACTTCACCTTGTTTATTAAAATTCCCTCAGGGGGAATTTTTAAATTTTTGAACTAGATTGGAAATAAATATTGTGGTAATTCTAAAAATATATGAATGGGTGACATTCAAAATTATGACAATTTGAATTTGTGGATTGAAGAACTCAGACCGGAATAGATTTTGTTATTTTACTCTGAATCTTATTTATGAAATTATTGGTTGTTTAAGATGAATGAGGGTGATGGTAAACATCCAAATGTGCATAAATAAAAATATAGATGTAATTGAAATCACACACAAGCACACAGTAACGCAGTCACAGTTAAAAATGCAAGAAATCTCAGTGGAATAATTCCAGAAACCATTTTATGAACCAAACGATGAAAGTAAATCTGCTGCTTTTTAAGTAAAAGAGCCCCGTGTCTGTCCAGAGGAGTCCGTGAAGCACTGTTGGATAAATGGTGAGCCGCTGATGACAAGGTCACAGTTCAAACCTAGCAGCCACTCTGCAGGAGAAATGTGAGACTGATGGTTCCCATAAAGTTTTACTGCCTCAGAAACGTTTTTAGGCTTAGGATCTCTGGGAGTCCGAATCAGCTTGATGGCAGTGGGCACAGGCACAGCAATGACTACTATTCTTAAAAAGAGTTTATTAGAAACATGGAATTAAGAGATTAGCATATTTCAGAATCAGATATAATAAATTCATAATAACTGCAGATGAATCCTACCAAAATTATGATATGTTTCATATTAAGCACTTAGGAATGAAATGAAAAATAAAACGATGACACAATGAATGTGTCAAGATTTGTGATGAAAAGGAAGGGCATGTAGCCACAAGGAATCTAGGGATTTCAGAGCAGAGCTGAAGAAGTGGGTCCACTCTTCCTCCCACTGAAGTGCTGCTCATCGTTGTGCGTATTAAAGGTTTCAGAACGTGCAATGTGACAATCCTCTGCAAAGATGGGTATGTGACAAAGAATCACTAAACATCTGAGGAAAGTCAAAACAACTTAGAGTGGAAAATAATGTATCAGAAGAAAAAGATGTAATATGAAGATTGACCATAATTTAATTCGGTTCATTGATATCTCTAGAGAGATGTTAGAAGCACCCTGGAAAGCCACAGGGGCAGTTCTATGCTGTGCTGAGTCAGAATCGACTATAAGACAATGCGTGGGTTTTTCTCTATTCGTTTTAATGTTTTCCATGGTCCATTTGTGAGGATGCGGGCATTCTCCACACTGGGTTTCAATTTCTACTGAAGGTTGTATTCTTTGATTTTCATTAGCAAGTGCTTCAAGTCCTCCTTGCTTTCAGTAAACCAGGCTGTCTGTGTTAACCAAATATCACATGTGGTTAATAAGCCTTCCTCAAATGCTAATGGCAGTCTCTTCTTAAAAGTATTATATTTGCCCAAGGAAACACACCTTTGATTTCATCACGACTGCTTTCTGATAACGTACTGTGGATCCACACAAAATGAAATCCTTGACAGCTAGTGACAAGAGGACGAATTTTAATCCTGATACTAGAACCAGAGAATTTAGTTCTTGAAGAGGCATTTTACAAAAGAATTCATTTGAGATCTTGAAAATCAAACTCTGTGGGGGACACACAACTGAAAAGTGGATGAAGGGAGACGTCGGACAGGGCAAGATATGACAAAATACCCATTTATAAACTATCAAGGGGTCATGCGGGAGGGGGGAGCAGGGAGGGAGGGGAAAATGAGGACCTAATGTCGGGGGTTTAAATGGAGAGAAAATGTTTTGAGAAACAATGTACAAATGCGCTTTACACAATTGATGTGTGTATGGATTGGGATAACAGTTGTATGAGCCCCTAATAAAATGTTAAAAAAGAAAAAAAAAAGAAGAAGAAAATCAAACTCAGCTTAAAAATAATAACGAATAGGCTGAGTGACTGTCATACCATATTGAAACGTAAAATATTAAGAAACTCAGAAATGGAACCAAGAACGCTGGGCGGAGCTTTCATAGTACGCATTTTCCCCGCTAGGAGAGCTTCAAGCAACTCGCTCTGAGTTAGTGCATCCAGTGGTGTCCCTGGGAAGGTTCTCTCTGGTCACAGTGAATATTTTTGTAAAATCAATTTTGCTCGCACCTCGTTTTCTGTGTCAATTTAAGAGAACAATGTGTAGCTGTAAAATTTTGTCTCCTGCTAGGGAAAAATGCGGCAGAACCTGTTGGGATGTTGAACACAGCTTACAAGGATAACGCTATGGGAAAAACTCAAGTGTACATGTGTTTTTCTCATTTCAAAAGCGAAATGTCGATACATGCAAAGCTCCTTTTGGATGCCCGTCAACTTCCCAAATGGACGAAAATAACGACAAAATTCCTGCACTCATGCTTGAAGATGGACGACAGGTCATTGAAGACGTGGGGAAGTTTTCTGGACTATCTTGAAGCTGAGTTCCGGGAATTTTAATGGAAGATTTGGGAATGAGCAGGGTGTCTTTGAAATTCGTGCCTCGGATGTAGACTGGCCAGCAAAAAGAAGGTCAAGGGGAAGCATGCCATGCTTTGAAAGAATAGCTCCAAAGTGACCCAGACTTTTTTCCCCCAAGGTCAACATGGTGCTATTCTTACAACTCTGATGGCAAACATCAATCAAGCCAGTGGAAGATGCCATGGTCACCTTGCCCAAAAGAGCTCGACATGTGACATAAAAAGTCAAGATGATGCTCATTTGTTTTTTTGATGTGAGGGTGATAGTGCATTTGGAGTTCGTTCCACCAGGTCAGACTGTTAATCAAGCTTTCTATTCAGAGGTTCTGAAAAGATTGTGTAACAGTTTCAATTAAAAAGGCCTGATTCGTGGCAGGAGACTGGTTTTGCCACACAGCCATGTCAATGCACCAATTTTTGGCAAAAAACAGCATGAGGGACATGAATGGACAGTGCTTTGACGACATAGACGAGGTGACGGGGAAAAGAAAAGGAGGGAGGTGCTGTCAACCGTCCAAATAGATGAGTTTGAAAAATGTTTCTAAGAATGGAATCACAGATTTGACAAGTGTATTAAGTGTAATGGAGAGTACTTTTATGGTAATAAGGTTGTTTTGTAAAAAAAAATTAAATACATAGTTTTGAAAAAAAATTCCAGTTTTTTGGGGATACCCCTTTGTATATTAAAATATTGACTATTTTAGCATTTTTAGCATTCTTTTTAAGTATAATTCAATGATATTAGTTAGGTTCATCATGTCATTTAGCTATCACCATTATCCATTTCCATTTTTGTAACTTTCTTAATGCAACAACTCTTGCTCTGCCCCTTGTAACCATCAATAAACTTGGCTAAAGTAAGCTGTTAAATTTGCGCACTCTTCTCATATAAGTGGGCTCATACAATATTTACACTTTCATTAATGATTTCATTCACTCAGTATAATTATTTCAAGGTTCATTCACCTTGTGGCATGTATCAGGACTTTATTTATCTTTATGAACAAGTAGTAATCCATCACATTTATGCATTTTGTTTGCCCATTTATCTGTTGATGGCTTTTCCACATTTTGGCTATTGTGAATAATGTCATAGCTTTGTACTAAGGTGAATGGATTTTCTAAGAATTGCCATAGTTAGTTTTCTAATCTTGAGGATTAAAAAAGATTTTTAACAAAACTACTTTTTTATGTTAAGGATTTCCAAATGGATTACATACCAGATGTGAGAATAAAAATTGACTTTGAAGTTTTCGGTGGGAGAAAATTATGCTTAAGGAAAATAATTTGATTGATGCTTATCTGTAGATATATTGAAACAAAAGATGTTTACAGATATGTATGGATGTTTTGAATTTATATTTGTAAAATTTAAAAATCTACTTATATGAATACTATAGAAACAATAGAAAGTAGAAGAAATGAGAGGATATAAAGTAGAATACTGTTTAGTTTTATGAAGTACTTTCTAGGAGATGAATATAGACAATAGAGAAAAACACTTTTAAATCTTTAACTTTTATTCAAAGATGGAATATGTGTGGGTTTTATTTTTTCAACATTATTAAGACTTAAAAAAATATTTTAGATAACATATTTCAAAATCATTACAATTTTAAAATGTTTTAAAATCAAATTAATTTTCATATCGATGTAATTCAATTTCCTTATTCTATTTTCTAGGTACTCAATATGGTTCTCAAGCTTGTTTTGAAGAAATTAATTCTAGGAACGATCAATTTGGAAACTGTGGCTTAAGCCCTAGAGGATTTATACCATGCACCTTTACGTAAGTAGTAAAACCTGTATACAGTTTTAAGAATAGATTATTTGTATGTATGACCTTAATTTAAAAATTTTGAATTAAATCTATAAAGTATAGTCATTTTGACATAAATTTCTATTATTTATAATCATTCCTACAAAGTTTTAGATATGATTTTATTCCTTCTACATGTTTATAAATTGACATAACTGGTCATCTTAACTTTGCATGCTGCTATTTTTTCCTTAACAGATTTTCATCTTTGTAGGGGTGAAATCAAGGGAACTTGATAATTTTCCAGAATGAATTAGTGGGTGGCCAAAATAAATTCAAATCCATATTTCACAGATGATTGTTTGCTATCCTTAGGTGATTGATTATTTCATTGTAAAGAAGGATAATAGTAAGCAGTATATTTTTGGTATTACCAAGACTGACATCAGTCACTTACAAAAGCACTTAAAGAAGTATTGTTCCATAAGTCATGCTATATAAATTTTAGCAATGGTTGTTTATTATGATTAAAATATGAAATTAAAATGTGATTGAAACATTTATTTCATTTGATGTTACTTAGATTTTTCAGTTTAAAGTTTAAAAAGTTCATGATATAATATATAGTCAAATATTGCATGAACATTTACAATTAGTTGGATTTTAATTATGCATATCTTGTAAAAATATCACACACCCCTTATAATTATATGGATTTAAATATACATATTTATATGTTATATTGAGCTAAACATAAGGCAGTTAATGAGTAATTGTTTAAGAATTTGTATACCAGTGATGCTAAGTAAGTGTGAATATAAGATAGTTCAAATAAAATGTGACTAGCTGATTTGAGGGTCTTAGCTACCTTTAACAGATGTATTCAAATGGAATGGTATATTGGAAGGAAGGAAAGCTTTAATTATGTGATGTGTTTATATGGTACTACAGGAAGCACTGAACATTTCCCAGAGTTCTTCTGTAGCTTTGGATAAGATCATTCTGGAAAATAATTTAAAAATTTGTGTAGTTTCTGATATACTTTTTATCAGTTTACACCCTTCACATAAATTTACTCCTTTATATGGAAATTTCCTTAACTTCTTGATCTAAATATGTATTTGTATTTCTATGCAGTTGTTCAGTTTCTTTCTTTTTTTTTTTTTGCAGTTGTTCAGTTTCATTGGGTGGAAAGTTGGTGTAAGAACTGATCAGCTGCACAGAAATACGAAATTGTAATTTGTTTCATTCTCATAGTTGATATCAGGAAAAAGTGGATATTTTATTATGTTGAACTGTAATTCGTACCATTAGACACACACTTCTTACTTATCTGATGCTGTGGGTTGGATTTGACTTGGTGACATCTAATCACAGCAATTACTTGAAACTAGGTGTATTAGTCTGGGTACTTTAGAGAAACAAATCCACAGAAACTAATGTATAAGAAGAGTTTTATATAAAGGGTAAGTGCACATCAAGAAAACATCTAAACCCAGTGCTGCTCAAGCCCACAAGTCCAACATTAACCCATATGTCTGACACCAAGCCACAAAGTCCTCCTCCATCTCACAAAACACACACTATGATGCTGACTGCAGGAGGAAAGATGACTCAGTGAATATGTAAGCATCTCAGTACTGGCAGGGTTCTCCACACGGCTGCTCCAGCACCCAGGGCTGCATCGGGGTAGGTCCATGTGCCTTCTCCTTGGGTATGTCTCGCAGGAAGTGAGTCATACCAGCTGAAACAGGGAACTGGCTAAGGCAATTGTACCCTGGTCCAACCATCAGAGAGCAAGAGACCCGAGAACTAGAAAGGCAAGGCTCACTGAGCCATGTATCCCTCCACCTTTTAATTAACCCCACATGTGTTTATCTGCCATGTTGACACAATAAACTTTAGCTAACTCACTGTGTCAGATCTCACAGGTAGAAAGGAAATCATCCTTCAGACTCCCAAATCAATCTAATGCTTCCGATGCCAGCAGCAAGTCAGGGGGATGACAAAATACCCGGACCACTCAACTGTTGGCTGCAAATGCAGGGTACCTTCTACTTTGTCGGTGGAGTAGTTCAAATCTCAAGTTTTTCCAGCTCTCGCCTTCTTTTTAACTCCTGCCTCTTACTAGTCTATAGGGTATGATAATTCACTAAGATGATTCACAGGACTTACAGATAGGAAACAAAATCGGAGGAAATAACTGAAGAGGTGCAGTTTGGGAAGATTCCTAATATGAAGTTTCCCCATCCAAAAGGACACATTTCCTTTCCCTAGGTATGGGTGTCTTTTGTTCAGTTGGAAGGTCATGGAGCTTCCATGACCACAAACTTTATGTAGTCATGATTGAGGCCCCGTTTGTAGGATGATTAGGGCACTCTGACATGGGCATGATGGATTGCATCATCAAAACCCCTTTTCATACTTCATAATTACCCACAAGATGGCCTTTCTAAGCCAGCCAGCCCCTACAAAGACACTTCAATTTCGCAGGAAATCACAGGGCTTTATTTGGAATAAACCCATGCATGTATCAACTGGAACCTTCAAAGCAGTACATCTTTTTGTTCTCTTGGCATACCCAATTATGAAACAGGGCACATAGGCAGTTTCTCTTAGGAAACGATGAAACACTAAATTCTATGGATAACATTAAATGTTTAAACCCATAACACCAGAGAGCCCCAATTAAGCCATACATTTTGTTTTTACAAACTTTAAAAATTGATAAAACCGTTGCAAGGATGATCAATTAAAAATAAAATAAAGAATATTTCACTCAGTATTGAATCAATTGTCATAGGGACTTTTTTCTAAATGAAAAAATAATAGTACCAATACACAAAAACATTTTAGAGGAATATAAAAAAGAAGCACCTCAAAAATCTTCTACTTAGGTAAATATAACCTGAACATAATAACATTGCTGAAAATAGGGAAAGAGGCTACCTGAGCAAATATGAAAGGAAAAAATAACAGTACTAAGGAAATGATTAGCAAACAAACCCAGCAATACAGAAAAAGTGATATTTAGCCTGCCAAAGTTGTATTCAAACACTCAAAAAACTGTCAATATAGCTCAGCAAATTAATGAATCAAGGATATAACATGTCATATAATATTTAACAAGCATTTGTAATAAAATCTCTTAGTTTACTAGTAACATGAAGAGAATTCCTTAATCTGATAAACCTTCTTT